GATTGTGATACAAATTCAAATGCAGTTCAGAATTTCTTTTCTAACCAGGGGTATGGATAGCTGTGAAAGTATATACTCCCTAGCAAGCAACAGTTATGCTCAGCTACACTTAAAAAGCTCCCCCCTCACCCCCAAAGCCAAGGGATTGTACAGCAGAGCCTGGAGAATGGATAAAACTGATTGAAAAGTGTCATTGGCTCAGTTTTCTCACCCATAGGGTTTAACCTGCACTATAAAGCTAAGGTTACAGATTAAGAACTATTGGGGGTCTTCTAACATGAAAATTAATAACACATGGTTTATTTTTTCTGAAGCCTGCACATTCTAAAATCACTGGCTGTAAGGACTGATGCTGTAAGGAATTTGTAACTCTCCTTTTCTTATGGGAACATAACGGAATAATTCAAATTTTGAATTACTTTTTTTTTTCTCTTCAGGTATTATCTGGGATTTTTTTCTGTTTTGTTTTTGTTTTTCCCCACTTGTTCTCTCTCCCTATCCACCAAATCAAAAAAATTGTGGAATTTAATTAAGATATCACAGTCACTTGTTTTTCCCAACTGAGTAATTTAGAGTGGTGGTGACTAGATCTGAAATGGTTAATTATAGGGAATGTACAATCCCTGGTCTTCACCCACACCTTACAGAAATTCAGTGTTCTTCTCTAAAGTCTGTGTCTGAAGGTTTACCATTCATCCATAGATCAACTACTACTATGTGTTTTAGGGGAAAAGTCTGAAATACAACTTCTGCAAAGCCTTGATTCTTTTAGCATCAACAGATGCACTTAGAGACACAGTCTTAGAGAAGGTTAAGGTTGTGTTCCCTTTGAGTTACAATGAGAATGGTCCAGCTATATATATCTACCAGAGGCTAAAATCTGCTTTATAGCACTTTCTGGAGAAAAGAGGCAGTTGTAATTACTTAGGCTGTATATGGAACTCTGTCCTAAGTCAGCAACTTACAATATTGGCACTTTTTATTGTTGCCTGCCTTCCTCTACTCCCCTTCCCTGCAAAAAACAGGATGACTGACAAATAATCACCCCATTTTCTGTATTTCCCTTTAAATAGAATAATCTTTAATTATTCTCAGAAATTCATAGAATTCTTGACAACAAAATCTTGACAACAATCAGGTTTTTGTAGGTGTCACTGTATATTCTTTTTATCAAACTTTTAATTAAAAGTTCCTATTTACCGTTACTTTGCAGTTTGTGAACTGCTGAGTTATTAAATCATCCAGCTATTATGAGAAGGGGAATTAAACTGTGTAACACATACTAGCTTTTCAACAAAGGAATGTTTTGGGGTTAAATAAATACCAGAACTTTGTAACATGCCTAATGTGGAATCCACCAATACAACAGTATTTGTATCAAATAAGTAAATGATGGTAAATAAATAACTATTGTATTTCATTACTCTTAAAATCTTGAACAAACTGCAGATCATTAAAAATTTGCCTTTTGTGGTTGATTATCTGCAGCACATCATTTTGTATTGAATAAAGAATCTAGGTTTGAAAATGCTTGCACTTTCAGGAAGTTGATACCCCCCTCCCCCCCCCCTTCTCTCTCTGGAGTTAAAATGGGCTTGTTTATGATTTTGAATGTAAATAGATTTAATCAATTTATATTAAGAGATATGAGGGGCCTAACCCCATTGCTTTAGTGATGGGGCGGGTACCAATGGAACGATGAGGAAAGACTCCCTGTTGCAGGCAGACACAGAGAAGAGTGATGTGTAATTTAAAATAAAGGACACCAGAAACAGACCTGTGTTACCAGGTGATAATTCTCTCACATCACATTTTAAAAAATAATCTTCTGTTTTATAGAAAAGACCTACTTTGGTTACTTAATTATTATATCTATTTGTACTTCTGAACAAAATAGAACATGGGAGTCTGTTTATGGAAATATTATTTTAACTCTTAAAATCTGATGGTGTTTTCAAATATATGGTTTTG